TGTATGTGCAGAATCTGATTTCTGATAACAAACTCTACAGTTGTTTAGTTTCCAAAACACATTTATATCTCAGTTAAAGCCTGCTAACTTTGTGTCAAATCAGCTGAACTGWAGACAAAAAGTTGTCAACTAACAGGACAGACTATAGCATCATGCACAAACATCATCATCTCCAGTGTTTGCCCTAGGTTTCCAGCCTTGTTGGGGGTGTTGAGACAGATAATGAATAGTATTTATGAGGAATGTGCAATACGGCAAAAAAATAATATCACGATATATTATGATGCGTGGTGGTAACGATATATATCATGATATAAAACATAATAGAAAATAAATAAATGACATACTAATTGAGTGAAATGTGTGTGTGTGTATATATATGTGTGTGTACGCCCCGACCGGAGGCATTTGGCTGAGACCACATTTTTCCTCGTCCACACAGTCCAGAACCAAACTGCCTGCCACTGGGTGCTTCTTCTTGAAATGATTGCTGCAGTAGTAGATGGACAGTTCTTCCAGCAGGTCGGAGAAAAGCGGCAGGAGCTGTTTGCCTGTTTTCTTAGCTTTTGGCAGCTTCTTGATGAGTTTTCATGACGAGGTTGGCCCACACCAGAAGGAGCAGATTTTACGACCAGTTCTGACCGCTGGGCAGATGGGTCAGAATCTTTGTTACCATCCGAGAAGGGGAGCTCCCARTCAACATCGGAGAGCTCGCCTCCTGCCATGTAATCCAGAGAGCTCGAAGTGAGAACCTGCTCCATCATTTCAGATGACAGCGGGGCCACAGCTTGGAGTATTTGTTCTGGTTCAGTGAGCTGGGAACCCACCAGGTCATCTGGGTCCTGTTTGGTGACTKTCGAAGCCATCACCTTCTCACCGCTGGACAGGGTCAACGGATGGGTCTGACGGTGACAGAGCACCTTGAGGGAGAACCGGCTGCATTGTGTGCATTCTTCCTCAGACTCAAGGGATGCCAGGGTGGGTTTCAAACCGTGACACACCCACACAGGAGGTGGATGTCCCATCTTGATATTTTATTGCCACAGTCAGGGTCATGACTGTGGGCCCTCCACTGATGTTGATGAAGTCTTGGCAGTCTCCATGTTCCAGGAGATGTCTGAAGCTATGTGTAGCTGGTGACACATAAGCTAACCAGGTATGGCTAGGCTAGGCATTGCGGTATCCTAGTGGGGTAGCTCAAACAGTGGGAATATTGCTGCTGTTTTAGAAGTATTGCTACTTTCATGACAGTATTGCTACTGATAAGCAGACACTGTGTGGTGCTGTGGTAACCCAGAGCAAAGCACCCAGAGACCAAGCCTGCACACGTGTCTACAGACAGTTTAGCTAGGCTCTGAGGCAGTACCTGTAGAGAGCTGGTGGAACTTCTGCTCTTTGTGAGAAGAGATTCTTGAATAACCTGTCAGTGCAGAAACAGCCCTATTTATAGGGGGAGGGTCTTGACCCTCCTTGACCTTGACTGGTGTAATGCAATATGAGCTTCTGATGAGATCACGCTGAAGGCATCCCCAGTGTGAGACATGAAACAAATGTTGTGAAAGAGAACACTGAATTCTTGCCAACACACTTAATAAAAAAAGGCAACTAGTTTGGCGGTTAGTGCCGTGGACTCGTAATCCTGAGACCACAAGTTGAAGCCAGGATACTTCAGGATGGACATTCAGTGTTAAACAATTGTCAAATYTTTCATGTGAGACCACTCGCTGTGGTGACCCCTGCAGAAGGGAGAAGCTGAAAGAAAAACAACAACACAGATTTATGCAAAGGACTTGGATTTATGTAGAATATTCCTACTGTCTCTGGTTTTCTGTAATCCTCCATGTGACAGGAAAAAGTTTTATATGTTTATGGAGTTGATCAAAGCTGAAAGCTTTATTTAGTACTGCCTGCATGAACAGATAAACTTCACTTCAGCTACTGTCTGCTCCCAGGACAGGTTTCAGTGTACAAACAATGTCTGTCTGTCTGGTGACATTTGGGGACAATTTTAAGACAAAAATCCTACCTTTGGGGCCAACTAGTGCATTTGGGGACACAATTCGAGTCTCCATTTGGTTTAAATGCCATTGGTGGGTTGGGGGTTGGCTTTAGGACCAAGGTTTGAATTGATGCTGCGTTCCAGTTGTATCCGAACTTGAAACCCTGAAGCCGGACTGACGTCAGTTCTGAGCTGATAGCGTTCCAGTTTCAAACATCAGAAAAAGTGTTTCTATTATTTTGCTCTGCAACAATAAAA